AGGAGAAAGAATCGAAAGGAACCCCCGTCCCTCCTCATCCCTTTCTCTCCTCTTTGCTCTCTTGTTCTTGCTCTCTCTTTCTCTCTTTCTCTCTCTCTCCATAAAAGGGGAAGCTATGGCATACTCACCTTTTTACATGCTCTCACGATTTTCTTCAAGTCATATTCCGAGGAGAGTCCTTGCACCGTTGTTAAGGTTTTGCGACCATTCCGCTGCTGGATCCTTATATGAACAAGGCCGTCCTGGACGTCATCGTCTGAACCCTTGATTGCATCTGCAAAGGGGTCTGCGAACAGGCGAGGGTCAGAGATGAGATATCGCAGCGTGCCAGGGCGCGGATTGCGCAGGATGATGCAAGAAGGATCGCGCGCGCGAACAACGCGTCGCCATTTTGATCGGCTCGAGGGAGGCCCCCTCGACGAGGCGACGGCGCTTCGTTTTATCGCTCTGGTTCACGAAGGATGATGTGCATGAGAGGAGGGCGATGGCATGGGGGGAACACGTACAGACGGATAAATAGAAGAAGAAATCCGAGAACGAGGGCGAGACGAGGATGGGTCGCGATAGTGCGCGTTTCATCACTCACCGAATGTGTTGAGATTCTGGATGGACATACGACAAACAAAAGAGATCCCTCGGATGATATAGAACTGCGGAGCGCAGGTGGCAAGTCGTGGGATAGGACGTGGAAAGACCTTGCTAGACGGAGCACTTGAACGGCGCGTGGACACGACGTAGAACGGAGTAGATGAAACCAAGCGCGATGGCCGTGTACGCAGCCGGAAATAAAAGTTGCATTTGTCACGGCGCGATGGGTGGGGTTGCGCACGGTCGGCGCGTTCCCAAAGCGAGCCGTAACGCGCCCGTGTGGCGCGCGATTCGCGGACGCCACGAGCGCGTCGTCAGCCATGAAAAGAGATTGGCGCGTTTGAGCAATCGACGCAATGTTAAAAAATGCCCGATTGGCGGTCCGTTCGAGCGGTCGAAAATTCTTGTCTTTAAATAAATGGTGTTTGTTTTTGTTACTGAACTAGTATGTACTCGTTGTGTACTTAAAATGGAATAGAATATGTTTTTGAAGTTTGACAAAAGCGAGATAGAAGGTTTCAGCAGCCGAATACAGAAAACAAACCTATGAGAAAAGAACACAAACGCGATTCAACGTTTAAAATTTTTAAATTCGGTGAAATTTATTAAAACAAAAATTATTTATTCAATAAACTTTACTAAAATTCATTGTTAAATTAAAGTTTTAATCTTTGCTCTTATTTTTTTAAATACATTCACACATTGGCTTAAATCGGAAAAAGGCGAGTTTTATTTTATTTTTTTTACATCAGCTCTTACATACTGTCGCAGGTTTATGCAAATGTGCGATAATTGATTTAACGTAATCGCGAAGATCGCGTCGCCACACGGCTAAAAAATAATAGAAAATCATGTTCTTCACAATCAGTCGCTCATCTTTAATTACTTCTCTTCATGATCGATGTAAACTGCATCTGAGAAAGAGAGAGAAAGAAAAGAAGAAGCAAGTTCCCTCAGTCAATCTGACGCGATTCCGATGGTTTCTTTTGTACTCTACAACGGTTCATCTATAAAAAGTAATCTGCTTGCGGTTTCTTGCTGGGTATTCCGCGACTTTCTTGCGGCGCGGCTTCAAATATCGTAAAGTCTCTTTGCAGATGCTCGTTCAGTTCCAATATCGCAGCTACATTGCCGCATCTGCAATTATAAAAAAGCGATTAATATTAGAAGATAAATATCGACATATAATTATAAAGTATTTAAATCAAAGTATAAATTAATGATAATAAAAAGGCAAATATGATTTCCAATTGAAATTGCAGATAAAATAGCAGAAAATCTGAAATTGAAACATGTATATGTAGCGAAGATAATTTGTTTTTACAGTTGAATTAATGTTCATTTATTGTTAAAGTAAAATAAATATATGTTCAAAGTTTGATAGAAATAAGAAAAAAAATTTGACGCAATGTACAATTTCAGAAACGTGCCTGTAACAATAATTTGGCGCTGACCAAACGGTCAATACAGTCTCATTAAAGTGCCATTTGTAACCCTCCATTACTAACTGATGGGCTCGGCATATCATATCGATATCATTAGCAGAGTTAAATTGTGCTACTACGTCGCTGCCAAAAAGGTAACCAGCACCACGTGGTGAGACACCCCAACCTTGAGTGTCCTCGGGATCAGACCACAACAAATCACACATTGGTCCATCATGAGGAACCTGCATTATTAAATATCAAACGCAATCGTTATTTTAATGCACGTTAAAATAGTTTATCAATTTTGAAAACGATAGAGATAAATGATGATAAATAATGATAATTCCGATATTAAAACAAACTTCAACAAGACTGAATAAAGAAAATATGTCCTATCGTTATTACAAAAGAATTATAGAAAAAGAAACCCAATAAAGGAGCTCACTTCTTGCTTCCTATCTATAGTCCGAATTTGATCCAATGTTTGAATACTAGGCGACAATCCACCATGAACGCAAAAAATCTTGCCATCGATGATAGCAGATAACGATAGGTAATCAAATATCTCTGTGCAATATCGCCACACTGTTATACTGCCATATTTGCGTAAACATTCATCATAAAAGCCATAAACCTGTGTTATCTGTCGTGATTCATGATTTCCTCTTATCAGTGTGATTCTGTCGGGATAACGAACCTATGACAAAATATAAATTATTAAATTATACTGTCTAATAATATATCTTAGTTTAAATTTAATACTTCTTAAATAATTTTTATTTAGGTAAACAGATATTTAAAATTTTGAATGTTACATGAAGTAGAAATTAATTTATTCTTTTGAATTATTATCCAAGTCAAACAAATAACTTTTAATCTTTCTCTACATTTTATGTTTTGATATACCTTTAATGCAAGTAGAAGAAGAAAGGTTTCAACACTATAAAATCCTCTGTCTACAAAATCTCCCATAAAAAGGTAATTTGTTTCTGGTACATCTCCACCTACTTTAAATAGTTCCTTCAAATCATAAAATTGTCCATGGATATCTCCACAAACCTAAAAAAAACATATTTTAACATATTTGATACTCTGCCAATCCAATTGCTTTTTCTAAGAAATAAAAAGATAGTTACTGTCACAGGCGAGTCAACTCGCTGTACATTGCTTTCCTCAATTAGGATCTCCCGTGCCTTGGCACACAAAGCTTTGACTTCAGCTTCTTTAATAATCTCACATTTTTTCAGCTGCTCAATTTGCCGATCCAAATCACTGGATTCGGCCATCGTACAGTGTAGTATTAAATCAGTCGAGATTTAGCACTTCACTGGGAAGTCGTTGTTAACGTCCCGCTCGCACGTACTCGTTTAAGTCTTCACAATCTCAATCGCTTTAAAACCAATAAAACAGATAGAAATCATGAAATAGCTGTTAAATAAATCCAAAATGAAGCAAAGCATAAAATACAAGGACAAACACAAGAAGTCAACCACTGCACGCAATACCTACGGATTAATTTCCTCGTCGTCTTCGTCGTCCTCGTTGCCGTTGTCTTGGAGTTTCACCACCGTAAATCAACACATTTGACGAGCGCGAAGCGCTCTGGGGAAGTCTCTCTTAATAATAAAATAACGGACGGGATCGAACGGGGTACTCCCGTACTGGCGGGATATTCGCCGCACTCGTTCGAAATCGAGCCCCGGGTCGCTCGCGATGCACACCACCAAATTGTTTAACATAAACACGGGACTCGAGATAAAGTGATGGTGAATAATGTGTGTGGGTGAACGATTCCAATCCCAGTCGTCGTTGCCTTTTATTCGTGCGCGCACGGACGTGAGCGTAATTCCCTGGATGAGTAACACGTGATTCAAGTGTAGTGACCAATCAATCGGCCGATGATCCGAAAATAACGTCTGCACTACGACAAATGATTGGCTATCTCTTCCTGCCACACGTATCGCGCATTTGCTGCCTTCGACTGATCCATCATATTGTGCTTGGGCAACCAATAAGAACGAAGTTTAATGGATGCATGTGTTGTATGAGATAATTTTATTTGATTTTATCTTTTTTTTATTAAATTAAAGTCCATTTTCATTAGAAAATTGATTTTAATTTCGGTTAATTTATCTTTTTTTTTGTTTAATTTATCTTTACCTTTTCTAAATGTCGGTTCACAATAAGTATTTAATCTTTAAGTCGTAAGAAATTGACCAATCATAGTCGATTATTCTTTCATATTCGATTATAATTGATCAATTTTTTACTTCTTAAGCCTAGTCTACAATGACATAAGGCTATAAGGCTGTATGGTTCTAAGAACCTATTTAAATGAATTATTTTCATTTCTTATGCTTAACAATTTTACGTCACAGTATAACTGTGCTGTATAAATTTTAGTAGTATCGTAAGGTCGAATTGACCAACTACAATCGATTATTTTTAGACTGTAGAAGAATAATTGATTCTGATTGGTCAATTTGCTTATGATCTTATGATTACGATTAAAATTTTTTCACATGCAATAGCCTTTAGGCTCGATTGCATCAACGTTATTTTGAATTTTAAGTGGTATTTAATATATAATATATGTCACGTATATTATGTATTAAGTCTCGCTTAAAGCCCAAATAATATTGGTGCAACCGAGTCTTAAGCTGTAAGAAATTGATCAATCACAGTTGAATTTGAGAGGAATAATTAATTGTGATTAGTCAATTTCCGACAGTTTAGGCTTAAATCACCTATTATAGACCGGGACTTAACATTAATTTCCTTACTGCTTAAGTTTTTTTATGTGCAACGGCCCTAATTCTTAAATCTAAAAAAAATAGAAATGTCCCTAATCATAGTGAAATTTTGTTTTTTTCCTTTTTCACACTTCCATCATGATTTTCGATTTTCGTCGATAGGCGGCGTGTGATTGAATTAGATTGACAGCCCTGCTCGCAGTTCACTTATGCTCCCATTCAAATTGAATTGAACGAAATCCGTTACTGTGAGAGGTGTGGTGATCATTTCCTGATCGCGGTTTTAACTCGAGAAGTGTGAATTAAAAGCTAAGCTAAAAATGAGCGTATAATGTACGATGTAAGATTCATGATGTAAAACTGATGACATACTTTAATCACGGTTCAATTCAACGTACTTCAACGAAATAGTCCGCAAGTTGAAGTCGTATTGTAAGCTGAGCGATATCTATAATCTTGTATCTAAATTGTAGTTTATCAAAGGATTATACGGAATGAACGGGTCTTACCCTGCGACACAGCCTGAAACCGGGAAGCCGGACAGGCTTCGTTATACCATGTTACTCGCCCCATTCCAGCCGGCGACCAGAATTGAATTGGAGACTAAAATAAACACCAATATAGAATGCTATCTTGATATAAAAAATACTGGTGATAGGACATTAAATGTACGATGAAAAAGTATATATTTTTTAAATTTAATTTTTTTGTAAAAGAATTGCATGTAAGGTCTAAGATAATTATATTAAAAGATAATTTATTCTCAAGAATCTTTATAACTTGCTTTTTTATTTGTCTTATTTTATTTGATGATATTTTTCAGGTGTTTGTAACTAAGTTGCCAGTTATGGAACGTCAGATTGTTTTAAACTTGTCAGAATTGGAAATTCAAGGGAATAGCAATGGAACGATATATATCCAATGGATGCCAAGAGAAGCAGGATCTTGGAGAGATGTGCTACAACTTACCGATAATAGACGAATCAAGTATGACATTATCATAGCGACAACTGCTAAAGATGATAAGAAAAACAATAAGACAAGAAGAAGGTTGCTGAAACCTACTCTATCAACAAAGTCATCAAATCTTCCTACATCAGTGACAAATAAACAACTCAATCAATATAATACATTGAAAGTTCCAATTATTAGTCAGCTTTTGGTTACCAATGATCTTGATGCACAAGCAAAACAATGCAAATTTAGAGATAAAAATAATCTAGATAAAGAGAATATTTTGAATAAAAATGAAACAAAGACTTATGCATTGCAAGAAAAAGATGATAAAATCAATGGGATACATCATAACAAACATAATAAATTAGAAAATGTTTTGTGCGAGCAAAATATGAATGTATGGAACGATGGTAATATTCTTCCACAAATCTTGCTTCCTTTAAATGAGCCACAAGACATACGTAGAGCCACCTACATTAAAGAAGGAAAGTCTTGTAGCAATACATTGTACGAGCATAATGAAGAAGTTAGCGAAAATACAAAGTGCGACAAGGGTCAGTCAGATTTTTCTATATTGTTAAATAAATTTACATTTACGCCAGCGGATATAATTTCAAGTTCTCCAGAACGGACGGGAAGAGAGTCGACAGAAGCTACAAGTTTACGAAGCATAGATAAATATAGTACATTCACTATTAGTCGCGGTCAGTTCTTTGAAACATCCGCGACTGATGACGCTAAGACTTCTGTAATTGCAACACCTGTATCACAGTCAGTAGGCTTGCATAACTTATCACCAATTAAATCTGATGGATGTTCCCTCGTAGCAAATATCAAGGATTTAATTTCATCGTCGCCGATTCAATTTCAACATCACGTTATACCGAAAAGTCCTAGCGAATATATAAAACATTTCACAGTAGATATAAATCCAAGTATCCAAACCACCAATTGTGAATATTTCAGTTTTGAGATTATTCCTAAGAATGTTGAAGTAGCCAAAAAGTCAGGAGATATGTACATTGAGATTTCTCCGCCGAGAAAGCACTTCCAGTCCAAGTCTATGGTCTCTATGTCTATATCGAAGTTGAATAGTACGAGAACCGGCAGAGTTACAAAAAATAATACTGTGTCTGATGGAGGAAACAGAAAGAAGTTACAATTGAGTGTCTCTGCTACAAGTGAGTCCTGCTTTCTAACAAAAAAAATTGTATTTTCAGTGATATTGATTATAATTTGTACATTATAATTACAGAGAAGAACACGAGCAACAAGAATGTTGCAGCAATTAAGATAAACAAATTATCTCTCAGTGCTTTGCATAACACAAAATGGCGTACTCCATCCAAAAATTCAAATTTTAAAATGCGAAATAAAGAATCCTTCATCTATGAGACATATGAATTGGATCCCTTTGCACCATCTACAACAGAGGATCCATTTCTTAAAAAGTTAGCTAAGTTATTTTTAGAAAGATTATTTTACATTAATATATAAATACAGAATTTATAATTATTTCTATAACTTATAACTTAAAATCTATATATTTGTAATGTTTAACATTCTATTTTTTTTTTACTAAGTTTCTAATTTTTTGTTTTTGTAAATTGAAAAAAGATGTTGCTGTCTAGATAAATATAAATTTTTGATTGAATTTGACTTTATAGATTAAAAAATTGATAATTCTTTAATTGTTTTAACATATTGTCTCATTATAATAGCACGATGCATTTCGATGAATTGTGGTTGTTGCAACAAGAATTGGCGTTTACAAAATGGTTGAATGCTTTATTATCTTCGCCAGAAGATTTGTCCGTCGACATTGAAACTGCTGTAACAGATATTGGTAAAGTGTGGCAAACATGCAAAGCCCAAAAAAACACTGTATTGGCTGAAACCAAAGAGGCTGTATCTGCTAGGTATATATCATATTAATGATTAACATTAATGATTAGGAAAATTTGCTTCAAAATTGGTTATCTTAATAATTAAATTATGATAACAAATCATAATATTAATTTTCAGATATCATACGAGTGCACGATTAAATACGTTACGAAAAGCGGCAAGTGCTATGTTCAAGCGTGACGAAGTCACGCAAATTCTCTCACGTACCAGCATATACATTGCCAAAGGAACCTTGTGTATTAGATCGGATCGTAATCTACATCGTGATATTGGTGCGTCAAATAATCATTTTTTATTTATTCGTGTTGAGATATATATCCAAATTTTCTGATTTTTGTCTTTATAAAAATAATTTCCCAATTAATGAATCTTAAATGTTATTCGGCCATTATAATGTGTCTTAAATCTAATTATTTGACAGGTTTACAAAAGCTCATATTAAGTTTATTCCTGAGTTACAATCCCCTGTGGTTACGTATTGGCTTAGAAACCGTTTATGGAGAGAATATTCCGCTACGCTCAAACAATGATATCGTTGGTTTGACTCGTTTCCTATTAACGAGATTCTTTTCGGATCCACGACTGACAAAGATGCCTGGTTATCATAAAACCGACCCGAATAAAAAATTTGTCATTCAACTGAATCAGTTCGTTTTGAAGAAATTCTTGTTTCTAGTATATTTCCTGGATTATGCAAAGCAGCATAAACTAATTGGCCATGATCCATGTCTGTTTCACAAACGCGCTCAGCATAAGGAAAGTCGTGAGATCTTGCTGAGTTTCTCGCGCGAAGTCCTAAGCGGCATTGGCGATGTAACCAGAGTGTTGCGTGGCCACGATTACATGCTCACCCATCGGCAGACCTACATCGAGGAATATGATTACGCGGTAACGAATATACGATGCGATCTACGTGATGGGGTGCGATTATGTCGTGCGATGGAACTCATCACCGGCACCCCAGGACTGACCCAACGTTGCCGGGTACCGGCAATATCGCGTCTGCAGAAGGTGCACAACGTGGATGTCGCGTTGAATGCCTTGCGCCAGGCCGGTTATGTCCTTGAGGGCGACATAGACGCGAAGAGCATTGCCGATGGTCACTGCGAGAAGACTCTGTCGCTGCTCTGGCAGATAATCCACAAGTATCAGGCGCCGCGGTTCGACCGATCGGCTCGCGTGATCCAGAGATGGTGGCGAGCACAACTCTGGTATATTTACGTAAGGAACTTCTTGTGCACACGTAGAAATCTGGCTGCAATAATAATACAACGCATGTGGAGGCGCAAAACGATGCAGTCTCCGCATGTGATCGAGATTGACAATAATTTGGAGGAGCGTAGAAGATTTTTATATATCAGAAGAACCGTAATAAAACTTCAGAAATGGTGGAAGCAGGTACGAGAAAACACGGAGAAGCTACAGAAGCTAAGAAACAGGCGCCAAGCGGTGATTATGTTACAAAGAAGATGGAGAACCATGCAGCTGATGAGAGTGCAACGAAATCAGTATTGCAATCTGAGGAATGCTGCATTGACAATTCAAACTCGTTGGAGAGCAATACGGATGATGAAATTACAACGTTCTGAATACCTCGCGTGTAGAGATGCCGCCGTGAAAGTGCAAAATTGGTGGAGATTTATGAAAGTTGTGCGAGAACAGCGCAAACGGTTCCTCCGTAGCAGAAAAAGTGCTTGTATTATTCAAGTTTGGTGGAGGCAATATCTGGTAATGCGAAGAGCTCGTAATGATTTCCTGTTGACAAAAGCTGCCATACAGAGTATCGAGAGGTGGTGGATAAGTGTAATCGACAGAAAAAAATTCCTCTTATATCGAAAGAGTACTATTCTCATTCAGAGAACGTGGAGGAAATATCAGGCACGCAAGCGAGAAATTGTTTGCATGAAAATACAAGCATGGTGGAGAGCCAAGATATGCTCACGCAAATATAGACTTCAAAAATCTTGTTGTCTGAAATTACAACGTTGGTGGCGTGGAATCAAGCTTACAAAACACCAACGCACGGAATTCTTGCAATTGCGAGAGGCAGCGTTGATTGTACAGAAGAATTGGCGGATGAGAACGATCAGGAGATATTACTTGAAGCAACAGCGAGCAGCTTTGCTGATACAATCGTGGTACCGCCGTGCGAATTCAGCGAAGACCGTACGACAAAGTTACTTGAAGACGCGAGACGCCGCGATACGAATACAAAATTGGTGGCGCAACATTATGATGGCCCATCGGGAACATAGAGAATATTTGCGGCTTCGCGAAAACATTGTTTTTCTACAAACTTACTGGCGTCGACATGTTTTAGCTCGAACGGATCGCCAACGATATTTGACAAAGAGAAAAGCATGCATCACTCTGCAGTCTTGGTGGCGAATGTACAGAACGAAAAACGAGTATAAACGGTACAAGATCTGCGTGTTGAAGATGCAAAAAAGATGGCGTGCGAACAGAGCTGCTCGCGTTGCGAGGAGAGAATACCTGTTGACTCGGGCCGCTATTGTCGTGCAAGCACGTTGGAGAACTTTAGCAGCGAGGAAGCGATTTGTCGCGTTACGCCAGGCTGCGATAGTCATTCAATCATATTACAGAGGGAGAATCGCGATGCAGAGATACGAAACCAGCAAATACGCCGCGTTAATCATACAGACCTATTGGCGAGCTTACGTTGTTGGTAGATGCGAGAGATTGCGTTACCTGTCTCTGCGCCAGGCCGCGATTACGTTGCAGCGTCGTTACAGACGGAACAAAATGAAAGATCTGCGCCAGCAACAGCAAGACGAGATTGCCTTGATCGCCACAAAAATTCGAGACGAATGCGGAGAAGCTATCTCTGTAGATCAGGACGTTACTACAAGCCTCGCGTTTCCAGGCAGCGACTACTGGCAAGAGATGATCAGTGTGCTACGTAATTGCAGCAGCGTCGGCACGCTGCTAACTTGCCTGAACAGCTTAGGTAGATGGTGCATTCTCACTTATGAAATAATAAGAAAATTTGTTTTTAGTGACAATGATATTTTTAAGAAAAGAGTTTTTATATAAAACATAATTTTACCTTCGTTATTTAGCCTATATTTCCTTTAAACAGTGAATAATTTTCTGGCGATTTTGAATGATAAATGAATCAATAATTTATGCTTATTACATAGATACCATAACAATATTGTCGCCGACTGTTTGCGTCATCCTCTGCAAACTTGACGTAACAAACGACATTTATAATACGATAGCGCAAAATAACAGATCGCTACCATGGATGAAGATCTGTTTGCGAGCATGCAGCATTTTGATCACCTTGGCAAAGTATTCCTATACAAGAAAATATGTTCTCAAGGTAAATCTAGAAAAAACTGGCGTCTTCTTTCTTCTTTCGTGTTATATTCAATGCAACATTTAAAATTTAAAATATTTCGTTGTTTATTAGAAAGAGTATGCCCTGGCATTAGTGAAACTTCTGAACGGATCATTGAAAAACAAGGAAGTATTTCTGTATTGTGCCACTTTGATATGGCTACTTAATCAAGATGAAGATTACTCAAAGGTACAATTTGCTAAATTATGCTGAGAATACTTTTTTAATTTCTGACATTAGTTATCTTGTATCTCATTTTTGTATCCTTAAATTCTAAAATCTAGTTTTACAAAAATTTTTAATCGCTTTTTACTATTTTTTAAATACTTGTATAATTTTGTATATACTTAAATATTCTTGAACTTTATGTGTATGTATGTTTTCACATTTTTCAGACTACAACAACATGTCCGCAAATTAAACTGGCTAATGAAAAACATTCAACAAAAAGTTTTGAAAGATACTACTATAACAAAACTTCAAAAATCGAAAAACTTGGAAAAGTTATATCCTAGTTGTGAACCTGACCGAAACAACGGACAAAAGTCGCGCCTGTTTACCGACATGAGTTTCGCTGTGGCAGCTATTAAAAAAACTTTCACGTGATATTAATTCATAAGATTGGTAAACATTGTTTAAGTTTATTAACATTGTTTAAATTATTTTTATATCGCGCATAATATTGCTAACCGCGATTCTTATTAGATTTGAATTACAAAAATCTAAAAGTGCGAGAAACAAGCTGCGTTGAAAAATATGTTTGCATATATAGCCGTAGAAAATTTTAAATATGATGAAGTCATATCTTGCAAAAATTTGACAATCTTACGACTAAAGCCGCAAAAATTAAGAGACAGTTAAGTTTTCATTCTGCTTTAATAATCGACTCATTCCTAAAAACGTGGCAGAACGCTGGCAACGATGACAACTCGATCTGCGTATAGTACAATAAGATATAAATGTAATTTTTATTTACAGTGAATTATTTACTCACAAATAAAATTAATAATAATAATGCCGAGATGATAATGACAATGGTAATGACGATGATTGTAATAATGGTGACAATGACAGTGATGATGATAAATTATAACTATATAATAATGATAAAACCGTAATTAGCAACAGCAGCAGTAGACTCGATAGTAATAATGATTGTAATGGTAGTTAGTCGTAGCGGTAGCAATAATTGTATTTCCTTGACTTAATTATCATGTACAGACTTAAGTTCTTTGATCTGCTTAATCAGATACGCCTTCTCGTCGTTGAACTGCTCGTCTTCGGAACGATCCGTGTGGAAGCGCGTCAGGAACTCGATCAACTTCTCCTGATTACGGAGTAATATGTCCAGAATGGGTTTTGGTTTGTTGGGATTTGCGACAAATACCTGAAGAACACAACCAGAAGAAACTTATTCTCTATTTCCCCTTTTTCAATTGGATTATTCTTAATGTGTCTACTGGAATGATTATTGGAATTCGAGAACAGAAGAATTATACTGTGACTTCAGTATTGAGAAAAGTCGAAGATACAAGAATAAAAAATCTAATCAGAAATGTTTGTCGACCCGAACATGCGAGTTAAAAATTTGATGATTTATCGAATGTTATATCCTACCTTAAAAACATGGAAAGCTTCAAACTGTATGTTGCGAGATTTCTCCTTTAGCATGTTCATCATTAATTTTAAATTATCTGGATTTGATATATATCGTGTCATAACCTGCAATAATTTTAATATGTATATTAATTCCAACTGGTTTATTACCATTCGTCAATAGCTATTTACGAATAGGAATATAAAGATTTCAAATTATTATATCAAGTAATATGTTGTACTTTCATATATTATTAAATAAAAAATTGTATCACAATATATTTCTAATTATCGATAAATTAAATGATTTGACTATTTCATTAGTAATACAGTTGATAAAATTTAAGTGCAAATTATATCTTAATAATTTTCATTTAATTATTCATTAAATTATTGCTACGTTTTTAAAGCTCTTTTGTATATAATATTTTACGTATTGACTCTTTATACATGAAAAAAAGCGTATACCGTTAGAATATATTTTTTCCTCTAGAAATATATTGTTTATATCTATGAAATTATAATACGCAGTACAATATTTCTAATAATATAACGTAGAGAAATTATTTTATATTTGAAAATACATTTGTAGAATGTTGAATCCCTCTTTGAATTCCTTATATGAACGATAATACTTGCGATAAAGAGAGATTTACTTACTGTAAAATTGTGTCTATCGAGCAATAGTTCGCCCAATAATTTTAAACTTTGTCGTCGTGTTACATAGTTTTCCGAATTGAGTAACCTTTGATAGTGTGAGAAAACTTTATCGTAATGTATCTCTAAGAATTCAGCGCTGAGTATTTTGTGCCTCGTAAGTAATTCCTGAATAAAATCGTGAGTCATTTGATTGTGTATTAAATAATATGATATTAAATAATATAGCAATTAAAAAATTTTTTCGCAGATATTTCATTTAGAAAAAATAAAACATAGATAATATTTGTGACGTACTTTAAACGTAGAGAAGGCATCAGACGCGATATCGAACGTAGAGACTTCGACGTATCTGAAGAAGTTGTAAAAGTCGTCTGAGTAAATCATGATCTTGGCCAAGGCTTCATATCTCGCGCATTCTCGTAACATTGTGCCACAATTGAGTGCGATGTCTTGGTGCTCGTAACTACAAGTCATCCATTAGTGGAGGCATAACTTTGTTATTTCGCGTTATATAAAGAAGGGAGGAAGGGACTTACCCGGACATAAGTGTAAAAAGAATTTCAGGTTTGGTACATATGTATTCTACAGTGGGTGATCTAGTGCCGATCTGCCTCCGCAAAATGTTATTGAAGACTTGTGCAACATCCTTCTTTCCCTTAATTAGGAACAGAAAAATTACATTCGTGACAGTTGTTAACAGTGGTTTACATTAACGAAAAGGAATGTAAAGCTGTAAGTTACTTCATTAACTATCATTTAACACGCGACCGTAAATCATTTGTTACTTAACTAATTGCTTTAGATCCTGTTTTTACTAACTATCCTAGATAAGCTCTTTACATTTAATATTATACATTTTAATATTATAATATTTAGTAACAATTTTATACATACATACATATATATTTTTTCTCTGCCACAAAAAAACATACAATTCGTTTGAATTGTATTAAGGGTGTACCTCAAAATCGATGCGACTCAGATTTTGCACGAGCAGAAGCAGGAGGTTGCTGTTATACAATTCCTGTGCCAACTGTGCTACCACGATGTCTGCCTGTGGCTCTGTCTCGGCTGTACCATACAGCATATTCTTGATGTGTACGAGATTCTTGCTCACATCTTCTTGCGCCTAAAAGGAGACGTATTTCATCGTAGAAACCGACGCGTATCCACAACAACGTACCTTCTCTACCTTCTTGTCACCACGTTCCAATGCATTTACCGCCTCCTTCAGAGCCTTCACCACCTCCGCTGGACTCTTCTGGGACTTTCCAAACAGAGGCATGTTTTCTTACAATGTATGCACCTTATGGAACATATCCAAAAAGAAACAGACGTTCTCTGTTACTCTCCGTTGCTAAAGAATATCCATGAAATGTTTAAATGAATGTTGAAAACTCATTGTCATAAACTGTTATTTATGTTAAATGAAAAAGTGAGTATTATGATTATAAATATATGTAAAGCATAGTGCAGAGTTGCATGTGAGATATACATACATGTACACTCAGGACGTGAATGAATAGAAATTATTTATATCTGCATCATAAAAAACATTGAAACGATCAGATGGTGAACACAAATTTTCATGAAACTAGAGTTTTGAATATAGCTGCATCGTCATCCGATAAGACATGAATAAGATTGGCTTCTCAACAAGATATATATGATGCCAAGCATTGTCCACTAGGAGTTGCAAAGGAGATAAGTCCTCCGAATCGACTTAACCTTGAAAAGTGATTGTTTCATCCAAGTCCATTGAGCGTCATCTGATCGGAATGACCGGACGAGACCGAGGGAGACGGGGGAGACGGGGGAGACAAAGATTTCGGTGCATCGCGCTCCGACGAGAAGGTCGAGGACGCACCATTCGCGAGATGTGACGAGATCGCGATCGGTCGGGTTGGGAACGATCGATGATGAATGATGGCGAGACTCGTCGGGATCGTCGGGAAACTCGTCGCACACGAGGTTACGGAGTCAGCGGATTCTAACCTAGAAGTCGTAAGGATCGCTCACCATGCAAGAGAGATCCGAGCGATGTCCAAAGCGTTTCGGTTGTGGCTTGAACGTGTTGCGCATACAAAAACACGCGTTTAGAATCTGCCCTGATTGTGGCGACGACGACGACGGTGGTGGTAGTAGTGGCGGTGGTGATGGTAGTGGTAGTGGTAGTGGTAGTGGTAG